AACGACAACTTCTTATAGCTTTCTTTATGGCTTTAATGTTTTACGAAATAAAAACGCAACAAAACGAACGAAACTTAATAAAATGAATATCAAACATTGTAAAAAAATGTATTGGTCCGTCTCTGTTTCGATTTTGTTTTGTTTATGAACGCCTATAAAACGCCACGAAATGATACTCGAGCGCTCAGTGGAGACGTATATTTATCATACTTTGTTATCATACTTTGTACTGATGTAAGAAAGCGAATAGTATGATTTTTCTTTTTGCAGAAAAGTATGATTGCATTTTGTGAACATTTATAAAAGGCATTAAATATAAAGGTGCTCTCGAACAGATAAAGAGGCAGGCATGCAAGAGATTGTGTTCTTCATGTTATAGTTTTTACAGTTTAGATTGGTTGTGACTTTTACTGAATAAAAGAAACGGAACAATGGCAAATGTTTCCTTCTTCCATTGTTTCATATGTTTACATGTAAAAACACAGGATGTAACAGTTCAAGAATAAATAATTGAAGCATGTTCGATACGAGTAACATTTCACCCTTGGTAGGAAAATTATATTATATTAGAAACATGTCCTATAACATGCCAATGGGGTAAATGACTGCTGCTGGATGTTTTCACAAGCGGCAGCGTGTCCTTAAATGGATCGACATATTGACCAGACATATTAAAAAACAAAAATGAACCTGAAACCCGAGAGGTCATGTGGTGATGTTCGTAGTTAAAATCCCATGCGTTTTCAAAGTACCTTCATTAAGATATCACATCACGAAATGAGATCGATGGAAAAGCAGCGATCCCCTTTTTTCAATATTAACAAGAATTAATTTGTAAACCAAGATCAGCACGTGAAACAGATACACGGAAATCAACGATATGATTCAGAGTATATAACAAAAGGCCCTTCTGGGTCTGAATCGCTCACCTGGATATCTAAGCAATCATGGCAAAATATTCTCCAAATGAGATTCAAGAGAATATGCCAGACCCCAAGGCCAACTATTGTAGTATGTCTGTATAAGATTTTCCATGCCCAGCAGTTTAATGTATGGTTATGGGGTGGGGATCTCTACTGTTTCCAAACTGTGACTTAGAAACTAAATCCCTAGGGTTGTGGCCAGACCCCAGGGTAAATTCGAATAGCATGACTGCATTCGTCTCTTTTTGTCCAGCATTTGTATTTTACGCGTTGGGGTGGGGATCTCAACCATTTCAAAGTTATGACCCAGGGGTTAAGTCTGCAAGGAAGGGGCAGACCCCAAGGCCATCTGTGAAGCATATGTGCATTCATCTCTTTATACTCAGCAATTGTATAAATGCATGGTTATAGGGTGGGTATCTCAACTGTTTCCAAGCTGTGACTAAGAAACTAGGTCCCTAGGGGTTCGGTCAGACCCCAGGGTATATTATAATACCATGACTACTTTTGTCTCTTTATGCCAAGCATTTGTATATAAAGTTCTGGGTGGGGATTGGCCCCAGCCATCAGGCCCCTCCGGGGCCAGACCCATTGTTTATACAAAATTGGTTCCCCTTTACCCAAGGATGCTTCAGGCCATATATGGAACAAAGCCTTTCATTCCTACAGAAGAAGAAGGATTTTAAAGAATTGACTATGTGTTCCCTATTGGGCCCCGCCCCTCAGGTCCCTCCGGGGGCAGAACCCCGGTTTATACAAAATTGGTTCCCTTCCGCCAAGGATGCTTCAGACTAAATTTGGTCAAAATCTGCTAAGTCGTCTATGACTAGTAGCGTTTTTAGGAAAAGTTGACGGACGACGGACGACCGGACGATGGACGTCGCGCCATGGCATAAGCTCACTTGCCCTTCGGACAGGTGAGCTAAAAATTAGAATGAGTTGTTTTGCTAGGCCACGTTATGAGGCAAATTTTCCCCACCAAACCCCCTTTTTATAGCAGATTCATCATATTATAACTGTTCCATTTGTTGTACCGATAATGTTTGCATTACAAATCCATTCTTTCCTAATACATTGTAGGGTTATGGTTAAACCTTACAAAATGGAATATTTACATGGAGATAAAGATCTGTCCCTTTGCGATACCAGTTATCAAATGCTTTTTTCCATTTCCTATTTAATTTTTTACTAATGATGTATTTTTTTTTTTTATTATGACCAAAAATGTTGTCCCCAATAATTCCACCCCTGCCGGTCGGGGATCGGGAAAAGAATACACCAGCTGATACCCACTGCATGTATCGTAGGAGGCGACTAATGAGGTAACCCACATGCAGAATGCAGAATTTGTTGTGTGTGTGTGTGGGGG